GGAGAGGATCTGAAAATGGTAATGGAGAGCAAGGAGTATGCTGACTCACCTGCTTTATCCAGTGAGCCTAGAGAAATGAGTGTGGAGGCGTAGCCAGTAATAAAAAAGAGGCCAGGGAAACTGTGTTATCACAGCGGGGCCAGATTTCAGTAACAGGATATGGAAAGAGTGGAAAAGGAAAAGATTGTGAATGGAAATTTGTTGCCTATGAAAAAGCATTCCAGAGGAAACAGTGGAAGGGATGGGTGGCTTGGTGTGAACTTTGGGGTAAGAGGATTTAGGGAGATAGGAATAAAGCATCAGATTGTGAGGGGATGGGGAATGGAATTTAAATGATAGCATCCAGGGAGTTTAGAATCACTTGGATGTGTATGTAGGGTATGAACAGGTGTGAGAATGATTATCATTGAGTGGAAGGTACAGCTTCTCTTCTCAGAGGTGGCTGAAGATCAAATTGGGGACAAGTGCTACACTGGATGGAAAGCATAGAGTCAGCTGGAAGTCTCCATTTCACCATAAATCTTGACTTGTCAAGTCATTCGTCTTTTTGCTTTTGTTTTTAGGGTCTAGATTTAAATTGAAATCTTTTGAGTATAGATTTAATATTAAATGTATGATCATGCATTAACAGACCTCAGATGAGTTAACCTTAGAACAGGAATTATTTGGACAGAGAAAATCTTTGCCCCTTTTACTTTTTTGGATGAAATATATCTATTTTGTATTTTTTTTTTAATTCCTGCTGCTGTAAAGCCGTAGTGGATTGAGTAACCATTGAGGGTTGACATATTCCCCATGTTGAATTCTCTCCTTGGAGCATATCAGCCCCCCTGTCCCAAATGAAGGTGGAAAGGAAAAGCTGCCTCAAGTATCCAACCTTCTTTCTTCTCCACAGGCTCCGTCCCCTCAACCTATGCCTTTTTACTTTTTTCCTTGATAATTTATTTATTTATTTTTAGTTTTCAACATTCACTTCCATAAGATTTTGAGTTCTAAATTTTCTCCTCTTCTCACTCCTCTCCCCCTGCCAAGACAGTGTGCAATCTGATACAGGTTCTACTTATATATTCATATTAAGCATAGTTTCCCCTTAGTCATGATGTAAAGAACAATTAGAACTAATGGGAGGAATTACAAGAATGAAGCAATAAAACAAAACAACAAAGGAAAAGGAGAACACATAGTCTGCTTCCATCTGCATTCAGACTCCATAGTTCTTTCTCTGGATGTGGGTAGCAATTTCCACCATGAATCTTTGAGAGTTGTCTTAGATTTTTGCATTGCTGTGAAGAGCCAAGTCTATCAAAATTAGTCATTGCACAACATGGCTGTTGCTGTGTACAACATTCTCCTGGTTCTGCTCACTTCACTCAGCATCAGTCCATACAAGTCTTTCCAGGTTTTTCTGAAGTCAGCTTGTTCATCATTTCTTATAGCACAATAGTATTCCATTACATTCATATACCATAAATTGTTCAGCTGTTCCCCAATTGATGGGCATCCCCTCAATTTCCAATTCTTGACTACCACAAAAAGAGCTACTATAAATATTTTGTACATGTGGGTCCTTTTCCCATTTTTATGATCTCTTTGGGATACAGACCTAGGAGTGGTATTGCTGGGTCAAAGGGCATGCACATTTTTATAGCCCTTTGGGCATAGTTCCAAATTGCTCTCCAAAATGGTTGGATCATTTCATAACTCCACCAACAATGCATTAGTGTTCCAGTTTTCCCACATCTTCTCCAACATTTAGCATTGTCCTATTTTGTCATGTTAGCCAATCTGAAAGATGTGATGTGGTACCTCACAGTCATTTTGATTAGCATTTCTCTAATCAATAGTGGTTTAGAACATTTTTCCATATGCTAAAGATAGTGTTAATTTCTTCCTCTGAAAACTGCCTGTTCATATCCTTTGACGATTTATCAATTGGAGAATGACTTGTATTCTTATAAGTTTGACTCAGTTTTCTACATATTTTAGAAATGAGGCCTTTTTCAGAGATACTGGTTGCAAAAATTCTTTCCCAGTTTTCTGCTTCCCTCCTAATTTTGAATGCATTCACTTTGTTTGTGCAAAAACTTTTCAATTTAATGTAATCAAAATTATTATTATTATTATTATTGCATTTCATAATGTTCTCTGTCTCTTGTTTGGTCATAAATTCTTCCCTTCTCTATAGATCTGAAAGGTAAACTATTCCTTGCTCTTCCAGTTTGCTTATAGTATCAGTCTTTATATCTAAATCCTGCAGCATGTAAGATGTTGGTCTATGCCCAGTTTCTGCCATATATTTTTCCAGTTTTCCCAGGAGTTTTTGTTAAATAGTGATTTCTTATCCCAGAAGCTGGAGTCTTAATCTATGCCTTTTTTTGGGGTGGGGGGTTAGGCAATGGGGTTAAAGTGACTTGCCCAGGGCCACAGAACTAGCAAGTGTTATGTATCTGAGGCTGGATTTGAACTCGGGTCCTCTTGAATCTAGGGCTGGTGCTCCATCCACTGTGCCACCTAGCTGCCCCAACCTATGCCTTTTTAAAGCAGCATTTTCCATGCAGTATTGGACCAGTCACTTAGTATCTTACCTGCAGGACAACTCAAATTAACATAAACCTACTTTACTGATGCCTGACTTTGACGACCCATCTTATGGTTTTCTAGATTTGGAGGATTTAATCTGCAGTAGCCATCAGAGCTCCACAGCTACCTAAATTCCAGGAACTTAAATTGATGTTAACTTGCAGAAATTATGATTGTTAAATTGAAGAATTGAATTGATTGTTAAATTGTAAAAATTTTCAACACAGTGAAAGCCCAGTTATCATCACAAGAAATCCTTGCGTGTTCTCTACAAAGAAAAAAAAAACAAAAACAAAAAACCCTGATGTTGGCCAATAGCTTCAACATTTGTTTTTTATGCTCAGCTCCCTGACCGCTGACCCCGCTCCTTCCACCAGTCCCCTTCCTTCTCACCTACTCCCATCCAACTTAGGCTAATCTGTGGAGTGATTTGGTAAGAGAAACTGCCACCACTCATTCTCCTTCCACCACTTATGAGTTTCAAGTTTTATTATTGCAACAAAATGCTTTGCTCTGGCTTTTCTAAAAAAACAAACAAAACCCTAATCTGCTAATCTCTTCTTCCCTCTGAAGGTAGGAAACTACACAGCAAGACAATGGAAGTCCTACTCACCATTGATTCACAATTTGGAAATATGAATAAAGATATACAAATATAAATATATATACCACATATATAATATACGCATATATGTCATTATATGTGTGTATATAAAAATATACCATTCATTACGTGGATGCCTGCTTGTTACAAAGCAAAAACTGGTGAAACAGAGAGACAAAGACAGAGATAAAAGCAAGACGGAGAGAGAAGAGACAGAGGAGAGAGACAGAGACACAGAGAGAGGAGACAGACAAAGAAAGGAGAGACAGAGAGAGACACAGAGAGAGAGGAGAGAGGGAAGAGACAGAGACAGAGACAGAGAGAGAGACAGAGACAGAGAGAAGAGAGTCAGAGAGAGGGAGAGAGAGAGAGAGAGAGAGAGACAGAGAGAGAGACAGAGAGAGAGAGAAGAGAGAGAAAGACTTGTTAAAGAGGGTTGTATATCTCCAGTTACAGAAGATATAGGAATGTGTACTTGTCAGCGAATGTTCTCACTAGATTAAAGGGGACCATACATTAGTTACAGACAAGATAAAGAGGAGCGGGCGTCCTAGGGCTCTGAAAGTCCCTTGCAATAATTAAGTTTCTTTGTAGCATTTAGGAGAGGAAAGAAGACAGTGAAGCCTGGTGTAAGCTGATCCTGCAGTACTTGCTGAGACCATACATAACAAAGTTGAATTAGTAACAAAATGGAATTCTTTACGTCAACCCCCAACAGTCCACTCTTTACTCCTAATCCTTAAAAATCCACTTTTAACAATATTAAATTATACTCATCTTCCTTCTTATCCCTAGAGGTTTACTCCGGTCTCTTAGCCCACGCTGGTTCTAAGTAACTTAAGTAACCTAAGTAACCTAAGTAACCTAGAAGGCAGAAATCAATCCCAACCCCTTTCTTCCCTCTGGCCAATCACTGGGGATATGATACGGAGAGGCCCCACCCCCAGCAGCAGGGGGCGGATCTTGTGGATTAAGACTGGAGCTGATTAAGAGGCCGCATCTCGTTGGCCAATCAGTGGGCAGGAGGGGCGGAGTCCGCGAGCCGGCTAGGACTGCCCTTGCGCTCTAGAGGCTGCCTGGGCTAGCCGCTCGGGCCATCGGGTCGCTATGTCCGCGACGGCAGTCATGGTAACGTCCATAACCCAGCTTCGGCAGCTGCGGCTGCCTCTGCTCTTACCGACATCGTCGACCTCGGCCTCGGCGAGCTACACCCCGGCCTGGGAGAGCCTGGACGAGCGGTCGTGGTTCGCCGAGACCAAGGCCGGCGCACTAGGCGGGTATCCAGTCAGTAGCGCCGCTGGCGGGCGGCACACGATCCCAGCTAGGTAGGAAGCCGTCCTGCGCCAGAACTGCGCGCCGGGCTTCTCCTACGCCGACCTCGGGCCCCGTTCGAGGCAGGATTCTTCGAGCCCAAGCAGTGGACAGACCTCTTGAAGGCGTCGGGCGCCAGGTGAGACCGAGCGAGGGCGCACGCTAGGGAAAGGGACTGGCCAGCCTTCAGTTTACATATGAAAAATCTGGCCCGGAGAGGTGAAGGGACTTGGCCCAGGGGCTCTGAAGTTTGACCCCAAGCCTCTCTCTTAAATCCAGAGCTCTACTAAACAGCGCTGCCTTGCTGTCATCCGGTATTATCCATTGAGGCTTGCCCCCGCTTCCCCTTCTCGGACGCCAGAGGGCGCCATAGTGCGTGCTGGTCCTGGAAGGCCAGCGGGCCTCGTTTAGGAGGCGAGATCAGCCCCGCCCCCTTCTTTCGCGACGGCCAATCAGCGCGGCCAAGAGGAGGAGCCCGCGAACCAGGACGGGGCCTAGCGCACCGCTCGGTAATAGTCGGATGGCGATCTCCTGGATGGGCGCCACGGTGGCCTCGGCGGCCCAGCGGCGTCGCAGGTGGCTGCAGCTGCAGCTGCCGCTGCTCCTGCTGGCGGCCTCGGCCTCGGCGCGCTACACGCCGGACTGGGAGAGCCTGGACTCGCGGCCGCTGCCCTCCTGGTTTGACGAGGCCAAGTTCGGCCTGTTCGTGCACTGGGGCGTGTACTCGGTGCCGGCCTGGGGCAGCGAGTGGTTCTGGTGGAGCTGGCAGGGCCGGCACGATCCCTCGTACGAAGCCTTCATGCTGCAGAACTACCCCCCGGGCTTCTCCTACCCCGACTTCGGCCCCCAGTTCCGGGCCAGCTTCTACGACCCCAAGCGATGGGCCGACCTCTTCGAGGAATCCGGGGCCAGGTGAGACCGGCGGAGCCAGCCAGGGAGGGCCTGACCCGTCCCGGGTTTGCGAAGGAGGAAACTGAAGCCCAGAGGCGTCGGATTCCACCCCGGGGCACCGCCCCACGAAGCCACGCTGCCACCCCCCCAAGGGTGGGCAGAGTGGGGCCAGGGTTCCGCCCAGACCCCGCCCCAACTGCTACATGGCTTTACAAATAGCCCAGTTTTATCCCATCCCTTTCATCAGATAAGGATACTGGGGCATCATGAGTGACTTTCCCGTTTGGAATTGGGGAGGGTTGCTTTGGTTTGGGGGTTTTTGGTATCCCCAGCGATTGACACATTGTCTGAAGTACTTAGTAAATGTTTATTGATTGACTGTCCCAGACACAGGGCTGGTAACTGTAACTAGATTTGAACTTAGTACTTTCTGACTCCCGAGTCCAGCACTGTCACTGCTTTGTAGAGAGCAAAACCTTGCCTTGGTAGCAACAAGGATTCATGAAGGGCTTACTGTGAGTTAGAAGGGGCAGTTAGGTGGCCCAGTGGGTAGAGCCCCAGGCCTGAAGTCAGGATGAGATCATGTTCAGCCTCAGACACTTCCTAGCTTTGTGACCCTGTTTGCCTCAGGTTTTCCTTATCTGTTAAATGAACTGAAGAAGGAAATGTCAACCCACTCCAGTATCTTTGCAAAGAAAACCCTAAATAGGATCATGAAAAGTCAGACAGGACTGAACAGCAAATGACTTAGAATGAAAATTCCTTGGGAGTAGGGACTGTTTCACTGATTGTATTTGAGTAGTGAGTAGCCCAGTGCCTGACACCTAATAGCTGCCTATTGATGGTTGGAACCATAAAACCTTTCTGACATTCACTTTTCTCATCTGTAAAATGATTGGGTTTACCAGTGTTACCTTAGGTAAGTCACTTAACTTCCCTTCTGGGACTTACTTTCCTCACTGAAAAATGAGGAGGTTGGATTAAATGGCCTCTGAGGGTTCTGTATATAGCTTTTTTTGTGTATAGCTGTTTGCATGTTGTCTTCCCTATCAGATTGTAAGCTCCTTAGGCTCGGAATTGTTTTTTGTCTTTCTTTGTCTCCCCAGCCCTTATAGCTTAGCCTGGCATGTAGTAAACTATTAATAAATGCTTTATTGCCATTAATCAGCAAGCATTTATTCAACTCCTCTTAGGTCCTGCTGTGCTCTGCCCTAGGGATGCAAATATAGAGGAGCTGGTATGTAATTCAGGCAGCTCCTACTAAAACTGAGTAAATTCAACTTTGGAATCCTGAAACAGTGTAGGTGGGGTAGGGTCTCTGGTGCTCCGGGTTTGAAGCTGGCTGGTCCTGGTTTGAGACTGGCCATTCCTGGTAAGGGAGTACAAGTAGGGTAGTGAGCAGCAGGTCAGATGACAAGATGTCTAGATTAGCTAGATAATTAGGGGCAGAGGTGAGAACTGGCTCATCCTACAATCATGTTTGGACACTAGGTGGCTGGCACAATGGATAAAGTGTCTGCCTGAGTCAGGAAAATTCACCTTTCTGAGTTCAAATCTGGCCTCTGTCATTTAGTAGCTGGGTGACCCTGGGCAAGTCACTTCACCCCATTACCTAGCCCCCCCCCAAAAAAATAGGATTGCAAAGTAGACCAGTTATTGAAATACATTTGTCAAAATTATTTTTAATAAACAAGTTCACAGACTCCAGTTTAGTGGAATAAATGTATAGGATCTCCTATCCTCCCAGTATCTTCCACCATAAGACCTTTAGAAAAGAAATCAAGAAAGATGGTTTTCCTTCATAGCAGATGATTCTGTTCCCTAGTTATATTCAGATTAGTCTTGTTCTCTTGGAGGTGGAAGGGGCTACAGAGACCAGCTCAGCCAACCTCCTTTCATAGTTGAAGAATTTAGGGCCCAGTAAAGTTAAGGAACTTGTACAAAGTCAAACAGAGTTAAAGGCACCCAAGCCCAGAATGCACAGCTTTTACTCCTGATGTCCAGGGTTCTTCCCAAGCTTACCACATTGCCTTCCCACATGCTCATTTCTACTGAGAAAAACAGTAACTGCCAGCTCTAGACTTCTCTGTTTTTTCAAGGGAAAATGTTAAAAAGAGCAGGTGGCTACTCTGGGGGGAAACGAAGAGCTGGTGAACATCCCCTGTCACTAGTCAATTCAACAAAAGTAAACTGAGGTACATACTCTGAGCAAATCAGCTTATTAACTGTGACACACATATAATTGTTAACAAAGCATGTCAGACTGGCCACTTCAGTAAGGCCAGCAACCTCAGTAAACAGAGGGGGACCCTCGTTACTGACATGCTGGAAAGAAGAGGGGCTGGGAACGTTATATAGTTGGCTGTCCTAAGAAAAGTGGGTTGGCATTCAGCTGTGGCTAATCATGCCCCTCTCTGACAATTAAGGAATGTTCATTGTTTTATGGGATTCATCTGCCTCTTGTAATCTTGGTTAGGAGAGCAATATTCCCAGGCTTGCCGACCCTTTGAAGGAAATCAAATGTCCTCTAACTGCACAAGAACAGGCAAGGATTGAGACATCTTTAGGGGGATGGCACCAGGTTCAGTTGGTTGGGGCTTGCAGACAACAAGCAGAAGTCCCAGGGGCTAAGTGATTGACTGATAACGACTTTTCCTTTCAACCACACCTTTAAGCTAACTCAGAGGGAAAACTGCATTCCTGAGCTTAACTTGGGGATAGAGAAGGAGGCTAGGGCAATCATACAAAATGGGGCAGTAACACAAAATAGGGTCAGTTACAGAATAGAATCAGTTATTAAATAATACAGAATAATTTTAATTTCCTTACCACACCCTCTTTGTCCCCCTCTTGCCTCACCCTGGCAAGTTAGTAGTGAGTTCAGGATTTCTACCTCCATAAGATGCCATCATGAAATCTAAAGGCTGGAACAGTCTTCTGGTCCTTCTCCTTGACCATCAGACATTTTTTTTTTTTTGGTTGGACAATGGGGGTTAAGTGACTTGCCCAAGGTCACACAGCTAGTAAGTGTTATGTATCTGAGGCCGGATTTGAACTCAGGTCCTTCTGAATCCAGGGCCAGTGCTGTATCCACCGCACCACTGAGCTGCCCCCACCATCAGACATTTTTGTTTTCGTTGGGCAATGGGGGTTAAGTGACTTGCCCAGGGTCACACAGCTAGTAAGTGTTGTTGTGTCTGAGGTCAGATTTGAACTCAGGTCCTTCTAAATCCAGGGCCAGTGCTCTATCCACTGCTCCACCTAGCTGCCCCCACCATCAGACATTTTTAAGTCTCAAAGGTAATCTTCAGTATTTTGAAAGACCTGTGATTTCCTTGGTGTAAACGTCCCCTTTCACCCATGTAGATTACATTCCTTCCTGTTATCACCTAGTGGCCAGTCTTTTCATGGTAAGCTTTTAGGCTGGTTCTGGGTTAACAGAATTGTCATTGTGATCTATTTGAAGCCTTGTCAGCCATATCTTGGACTCTGCCAACTCTGCCTTTAAGAACACAGGCTCATGTTCAAAGCACAGTGAGGCAAGAGGAAAGAAAGAAGCTGAAATGTAAAAGGAAGGGAAGTTCTCTGTGTAAAGAGCCCCAGAACCTCCCTTTATCCAGATGTCTCCCCCAAGCAATCCCTGAAGTGCCTTTTAAAGCCACCATTTATTTGTTGGGAATCTTTAAGGGAGCTACTGGTCCCCTTCCACCCTCAATAAAGTAGAAACAGAGACAGACATTTTGTAAGGCACAATTTTTTTTTTAAATTTCTAATATATAGTATTTTTATTTTTTTCCCCAATTACATGTAAGGCAGGAATTGTTGAGGCAGATTTGGGCTTGATAAAATGATAAACTTCCCAACCCTGAGAGCCATCTAAAAGAAGCCTGGGCTGCTTACCTCAGGGGGGCTACTTCCCCCTCCCTTGAGGATTTAGAACAGAGCCTGAGGAATTACTTGTCAGGTATACTGTAGTCAGGCTAGGCACCCTCTCTGGCCCTGAGATCTGTGATTCTGCAGGAAGCCTAACAGCCAAAGGAACAAAGCTTTCCACCACAGGAAGGCCAGAGAAGAGGCCACAAATTGCTGCTGGCCTCTTCTTTTATTCACCTTTGATTTGCTGAGCATTTGTTAAGCACCTTCTATGTGCTAGGCCCTAGGGATATAAAGGCAAAAACAGCTCCCGGCCTTCAAAAATCTTACATTTCACTGAGGCCCTATGTACACAGATGGGTAAATATTTGAGAATTTGAGCAGGAAGAAAGCATTAACAATGTGGCTTTGATTTCCACAGGTATGTGGTCCTGACCAGCAAGCATCATGAGGGCTACACACTCTGGCCCAGTCCTACATCTTGGAACTGGAATTCTATGGATGTAGGGCCACACCGAGATCTGGTGGGTGAATTGGGACGTTTCCTCCAAGAGAAGTAAGTGTGTTTGGTTTTTTATTAGCCCTGGACTCCCCTTTGCTGGCCTTCAATCACTTAAATCTCCTCAGCTTGTCCCCTTGGCTTTCCCCAATAACTAAGAGTAATCTGCAGAACAGTCTCATTGTCATTGAGCATTATTATGTCCAGGCCCTGCTTGTTTGAGGTTTAAGCCAAAGATGATCAGGCTACAAGTGGCATTTGGCTGACCAGAATAGGCCATAGTGTCTGTATCAGCCTAGGAAAGAATCTACTGACAGGGGGCTTCTCCAGTCCTTTTCAGGAAGTGTTTTGAGGCTTGGTTCAGAACAATAGTTCTGAAAAAGATCTGTGGGTTTAGTGGACTGGGAGCTCACTAAGCATCAGCAGCATAAATGGATGGCCAAGATAGTTGATGGGTAGAATAGGCTGCCTTCCACAGGGTGGGTGACCTCTCCTCAGAGGTCTTCCAGCAGGTGCTAGATGACCACTTGTTAGCTATGTAGTAATCGAGTTTTTTATCCTGGATGGCTTAGCCAGAGATAGGGAACGTTTGGCCTCGAGGCCACATGTGGCCTTCCAGATCCTCGGGAGGGGCCTTTTGACTGAGTCCAAGTTTTACAGAACAAATTCTTTCATTAAGGGGATTTGTTCTGTGACGTTTGGATCTGGTCAAAGGGCTACACCTGAGGACCTAGAGGGCCACACATGGCCTTGAGGCCAAAGGTTCCCTACCCCTGGCTTGGACTAATGGTGTTGAAAAGTTGCTTTTGAGTATTGGATTCTATGATTGTGATTGTCAGGCCATCTCCTACCACTTGCCCCTCCATTCCTATGTTCCTCCTTAGGTTGTGCCAAAATACACCCACCCCACTCCTTACGCTTCTCATCCTGCGCTTTCTCCTGAGCTAAAGAAAGATTAGAGTTTGAGTTGGTGGTAGAGCAAGGAATTCAAACACCAGAGCTTCCTTCTTCTGAGTTTGAGTTAGTGCTCCCAGTAGGATTGGTACCTCCCAACTTAGATCTGGGTCTAACACATCAGTGGTTCTCAAACTTTTTGGTTTCAGGACCCATTTACACTCTTAAAAATTATTGAGTACCCACATCACACTTATCAGATTGGCCAACATGACAAAACAGGAAAATGATAAATGTTGGAGAAGATGTGGGAAAATTGGAACACTAATGCATTGTTGCTGGAGTTGTAAAATGATCCAACCATTTTGGAGAGCAATTTGGAACTATGCCCAAAAGTCTATAAAAATGTGCATACCCTTTGACCCAGCAATAATGCTTCTAGGGCTATATACCAAAGAGATCATACAAATGGGAAAAGGACCCACACGTACAAAAATATTTATAGCAGCTCTTTTTGTGGTGGCCAAGAATTGGAAATTGAGGGGATGCCCATCAATTGGGGAATTGAACAAGTTGTGGTATATGAATGTAATGGAATACTATTGTGCTATAAGAAATGATGAACAGGCTGACTTCAAAAAAACATGGAAAGACTTATATGGTCTGATGCTGAGTGAAGTGAGCAGAATCAGGAGAACGTTGTACACAGTAACAGCCACGTTGTGCGATGAGTAATATTGATAGACTTAATCCTTCTCAGCAATACGAGGATCTAACACATCTCCAAAGGCCTCATGTTGGAAAATTCTGTCCACATCCAAAGAAAGAACTATTGAGTTTGAATGCAGATTTAAGCATACTATTTGCTGTTTTATTTCTTCTGTTGAGTTTTGTTTCCTCTTTCTGGTGGTTCCTCCTATTGGTTCTAATTCTTACTTACAACATCACTAATGTGAAAATATGTTTAATAGGAATGTATATGTATAGCCTATATCAGATTGCGTGCCATCTTGGAGAGTAAGTTGGGGAGGGAGGGGGAGAAAAGCTTAAAACTCAAAAACCTATGGAAGTGATTATTGATAATTCAAAATATGGAGTCAGGAGGACCTGAGTTCAAATCCAACTTCAGACACTTGACACTTATTAGCTGTGTGACCCTGGGCAAGTCACTTAATCTATTGCCTAGCCAAAAAAAAAAAAAAAAGAATAGGATAATTCAAAATAAATTAATTTAAAAAATATTAGGTCTTGCTATTTTTATTTTAAAAGTAGCTATTTTAAAAAATTCCTTGTGAGATAATTCAGTTTCCTGCTTCATCTTTTTAGGAATATCCATTATGGACTATACCACTCACTCCTGGAATGGTTTCATCCTTTGTATCTGCTTGACAAGAAAAACAACTTCACAACCCAGAACTTTGTCAAGACCAAGACCCTACCAGAAATGATTGATCTTGTGAACAAGTAAGAACCTCTCTGATCTTCAGTTTTCATCCTTTACAAGATTGGGTTGGTACATTTATATTATAATTCCCATGTCATGGGGCTTTATAACACTAAAAGGCTAGAGAAATGGGAGGTGCAGGCAGTTGTTTCTATTGCTTGTAAAATATCCTCTTGGGGATAGTCAATTACACTGAGCTCTGACTGTGGCCCTACTAAGGGGGTAAAGTCAAGGTCCTCCTATCTCTCCAAGGGACCAATAATTTCTATGGAGTGAAGGGCTAACTAGAGTAAGCCTGCTGACACTGCCCTGGGAATGGGTTCAGGGAGTAGCGTTCTATGGCTTCAAAGCCTTTTTACTTTTTTCAAGTATGTCATCTCCCAGTAAAGAGCTTACTTTCCAAGGCAGACAGCATCTTCTTAGAGAGTGTCTGAGGGCACTCAGATGAAGCAGCTTACCAGGTCCATGTAGCCAGCATGGTCCAGGGGCAGGACTTGAACCCAGGTCCTCCTGACTCCAAGGTCACTTGGAGTGCTCCACTGCTCCATGTTGCCTCTCTACGAAGTACTTGACATCCATGCTTTCAGCCCTGGGAGGCTAGGACAGTAGTCTAGTCCCAGTGTTACAGATGAAGGTAGTAAGGCTCAAACAGTGAAATTCCTTGCCTGGGGTTATGTGGTTCTTCACAAGTGCTTGAGGTGGGCCTAGATCCTGGGTCTCTTGACTTCTGGTCCACTGCTAGGTCACTTAGACCCCACCGATGTTCTGGATTGTAAAGACTCCTCCAGCATGTTACTCTTCCATATGTCTTTCAGGTACAAACCTGACCTGATCTGGTCTGATGGAGAATGGGAAGCCCCTGACACTTACTGGAATTCCACCGAGTTCCTTGCCTGGCTGTACAATGACAGCCCTGTAAAGGTAGGTGACTGAAGGACTGCTTGTGACTGTAGAAGGTGGAGTGAGCCAGGGCCTGGAACCAACCATATCCTTCCTTCCCTCCATGATTGGTCAGGAGAGAAGGGAATTCTGGATGGGGAGATAAGGAAACTCTCCAAGAATGCAGGATGCAGCATGCTGCTGTGGGGATGTTTTGTGGGTCTGGGGCAAGAGTAAGAAATTTAAGTTCCTGTACATTCACATTGTTCCTGGCAGATATTGAAAAGAATTATTCCCTTGGGGAGGGAGAGAAAATTTAGAACTCAAAATCTTATGGAAGTGAATGTTGAAAAATAATAATTAATTAATTTAAAAAATTGTTCCCTAACATAGAGTCTTAGGTGACATCCAGAACAGGCCTTTGGGTCTGGGGCAGGATCGCTGAATGTGCCAAGGCCTGGGAACGTAAATTTCATTTCATTTCAGCTAGTGATGTTTTATGCAATACCTACTATATGCACACTATATTGATAAGACACTCTAGCAGGAGAAATAAATCACATGTACACAAGGAAGAAGAATGAACAGACAACAATTGTTCTGAAAAGGACTGAGGGATTCAGTGATCTATAGAATTCACATGGGTCGGCAATGTGATGGGAGAATGGGGGGGGAGATCTTGGGCTGTATTAAGAGGGCCTGAGCTTCTAGGAATGGGAGATGATTGTTCTGCCGCATGGTCATGTTTGGTTGTAGCTGCCACAGCTCAAAAAGGACAAGGATAAGTTAGAGAGTGTCAACAGGAAGGCAGCTGGGATGGTGAAGGGCTGAGCATCCTGGTCATGTGAGGACAGGGAAGGAATAGATTTACTGAGCAGAATGCATTCTGGAATTGCAAAGTCAGCTAAGAAAACTCAGGAGATTAGCTTTTACAGATAGGTTCTGTAGCCACAGGAATCCATGGGGCTCCATCTATAGTGACTCAGGTCTTCCATTCTTCATTATTTAGGATCAAATTGTGGTGAATGATCGATGGGGCAAGGACACTGGGTGTAAACATGGGGGCTACTTCAACTGTATGGACAAATACAAGCCAACGACTCCTCCACAACACAAGTGGGAGATGTGCACCAGCCTGGATAAAAGATCGTGGGGGTATCGTCGAAACATGGACAGCAGTGATGTCATGACCCATTTAGAAATCATTGAGGTAAGAGCTGCTTTGGCTTTGGCCTCCTGAACTGGGGTGGAGAGAGGGAACATGTAGGAAGAAAGCAGTGAGGGCCAAGAGACTAGGGATCAGTTTTAGCCACACGACCTCTTCCTTAGGCATGCTTTCTCATTTGTAATTAGAAGACTGGACTAGCTCATCTCTGAGGTATCTGGTCTGTATCGGGTATCTGACATTCTATGTTGAAAAAGGCTTCTTCCTAGCTCTGAAATTGTGAGTTGTAACGACTCTTCCTGCTCTGAAATTCTCTGTTCCATGAAATTTCCCAACTCCGAAATTCTGTGTTCCTGCTCAAACATTTTGGGTTCCAAGAATCTCCTCCCTAGCTCTGATACCATCTTCTTCACGAAGCCTTTCCTGACCCCTGGGCCCTCCCTTCTAAACTACTCTCTATATATTTATACTCACTCATTTTAGATTTGTGACATATATATCAATGTATTATGTACTTCATATCCTCCCCATTGTAATGGAAACTCCATGTCATTCTTTTGTTCAGTCGTTTTTCAGTCATATCCATCTCTTCCTGACCCTATTTGGGTTTTTCTTGGCAAAGACACTGGAGTGATTTGCCATTTCCTTCTCAAACTCATTTGACAGTTGAGAAAACTGAGGCAAACGGTCACATAGCTAGAAAGTGTCTGAGGCCAAATTTGAACTTGGTTCTTCCTGACCCCAGGCAGACACTCTGTCCACTGCACCATCTAGCTGCCCTCGTGTCATTCTTTACTTCCTTGTATTGCTGGTGCCTGTTACACTTGCCGTGTGACTTATAGAAGTTAAAAAAAATACTTAATCGATTTACATGAGGTCCCTCCCAGGCTGAGCTTTCTTGTGTTCTAAGGACCCTTGTAGAGCTGAGATGCTGGAGTCTAAACAGCCCTCTTTGCTATATGCTTCTGACCCCCATGAGCTCTAAAAGGCCTAAGAAACAGAGAATGTACCCAGGTTGTTTCATTGTCGTTTAACATTTATGAATTTCAGAGCAATGTATCCAGTACCAATAATAATAGGTGAGGGCACTTCATCGTTTGTTTCTTCCTTCCAGGAACTAATTTTTGTCGTGAGCTTTGGAGGAAACTATCTGCTTAATGTTGGGCCAACAAAAGATGGGATCATTCCCCCCATTTTTGAAGAAAGGCTCCGTAGTGTGGGGAGCTGGCTAAAAACCAATGGAGAGGGAATCTATGCTTCTAAGCCATGGAGGGTGCAAATGGAGAACGTCACCACCCCCATAAGGCAAGTTGCCCCCTCTGCATTTGATTGGGTCACCAAGTCTATTAGTTTATCCCAAATGAAGATCCTTCTTGTATGTAGACATGGCTTATTATCTCCCATGTCCAACGGGGCCTCCCCGTGATCCCCTCCCTGCTGAGCCCAGAAATCTTTAGAAGCTTCCTGATTTCCCTCACATTAAACCTTTTTGTCCATAGACTGATAAAGGAATCAGCAAATCCTGGCAACTCACTCTACTGAGGGCCTCTTAGCCTTCTTGTGCTGGACAACTTTGGCCATCCAGTGAAACCTATGGACCCCTTCCAAGAATAGTGCAGAAAATATGCATCAGTGCATATTTTTAGTATGCATTTTATTAAATGCATAATAACATACCAAGGATTACCCAGGAAATGAATTATATTGTAATAGGCATGTATTTTATTCCTCTCCGAGTTCACACATCCTTTGCAGTCATTCCACAGGGGTACCAGGTTCAGAGCCCCTGCACTAATGTATGCCTTGATAGAATTTGTTCCAGGTGAGTGACAGCCCTAGCCAGGGTTTCTAGTCTTAGAAAAGACAGAGAAAAAAATGGCTCAAGGCAGGATGATATGGGGTAGAATTCAAAGATCTGGGTTTTTGAGGCTCAGCTTTGCCACTAACTCTATAAAAACGGTATTAAAATGAATAAGAAGGGCTGGATTAAACAGTCTCCAGGGTCCCCAGTCTAAAAGTCCCATGACCTTCATTGCTTCCAGTCATATTAGGTCCTGGAGAGCATCATCAGGTCTTTGGCTGAGAGGGAAATTGTGAACCAAGAGCGATTCTTGGCCCTCTCTGAGGGTTGCCATGGACCTCAGGAAGAGAGGTCCCTCTTCATTTACAATCTGAGGCCACTCAACTAGATAAGATGCCCTCACTTTCTACCCTTGGTCCAGAACTCTGCTTGCATTCAGTTGTTCTTTTCCCATGAGTAGAAAGATGTTCAAATCAAAAGCCATGAAGGACAAGGGAGGAGTAAAGTTAGAAAGATGACAATGATCTTTTGACATTTATACTGGGCTTTAGATACGTTGTCCTTCTGCATGATGGGTAGTTAAAAAAAAAATAGAATCATCCCCATTTTTAAATGAAGAAACTGAGGCTTAGAGGAGCAAAGGTAATCCAGGTAGTGGCAGATCTGAGACTTAAGCCCACATTCTGACTCCAAATCTTTTTCCCCCCTTTCCATCCCATACCTGTTTATTGTTCTCAATCTACAAATGCTTTTCTCCAGATGGATCTTGTGCTATGCTTCTACAGGCGTTTTTCCCCCTCAAATGCTTGGATTGTTTGGTGAAATCATGCCCTTATTCATCAGCGTGGACCAGGGGACAGAACACTGGCTCTGGAGTCAGAACACCCTCTGGGTTGAGATCCCACTTAAAACTTATGACCCAGGGACCTTGGGCAAATCCCAGCTCCCTGGGCCCCCCTTTTCTGTAAAATGCCTCTGGGGTCCCTTTCCAGCTCTCTAGGATCCCAAGATGTTGTGTACATTTAGTGACAGGAAATACTTGCTGAGTGTTTACCTTATGTTCACCTAGTGAAGTATCAGGTAAATTGATTGAAAGGAATTGTTTAGAAAGGAAAGCAGAAGGAGAATGTTACCAGGGATTTCCCAGGTTCTAAAAACATGCCAGGAACTCTGAGTGCAAGTAATGGATTCATCCATGGGAATGGCTTTTTTTTTGTTTGTTTTTTGTTTTTTTTTTTTTTGTTTGGCAAGGCAATTGAGGTTAAGTGACTTGCCCAGGGACACACAGCTAGTAAGTGTTGAATGTCTGGTCTGAGACCAGATTGAACTGAGGTCCTCCTGACTCCAGGGCCAGTGCTCTATCCACTTTGCCACCTAACTGCCCCTGGGAATGGACTTTGGATAGGACAAGTGCTTTGTGGATATTTCATCAAAAGGTAAAGGCTTCCATTTGGATAAGTCTGTGATGGCCGTCTTCTGCAGGTTCACCGTAAAGCAATCTGGTGTGTACGTCTTCTACAGCAATTGGCCACAGGATGGAGTGCTCCGGCTGACCTCCCCCATCCCAACAAATAGGACAACAGTAAGTAGTCTTCTGGGTACCGGTGTTGTGAAATGAGCTCTCTAGCCTTGGGACCATTAGGAAAATCCTCTGGGGCAAAGCTGTCAAATTCATGCGGCTGCCTGCAATTAATAAAAATACACTACAACAAAGATAATGGTCATTTGTGGTTTTCTAAGTCAATATGCAGCCTCCAGGGATCAATTTGGCTTTTCACTGCTCTGAATCCCTTTCCCTGGGTTTTTCTCCTATTTCCCTTTATGATTCTTAGTTCCCGGGGTTGGAAAGACCTCTTCCACCATGTGCACACTCAGCACCTTACAGGAGTCATTTAGCCTGTTCTGGAGCTGTCAGCATGTTTCATAATTTTGCTCTCTAAGAACTTTCTCCATAAATGTGAGAAAACACCTCACCCCACTCCTTTGCAGAAGTCAACTTTTTTGGCTATATTGATTGATTTTGCTGATTTTTTTTTCTTTTTCTTCTTAAAAAAAGTATACACACACACTCACACACACACACACACATATACATATATGTGTTATAAGAGATAGCTCTCTGGGAAGGAAAGGAATATAGGTGGGAAACGTAATCAATATAAAAACAAAATATAAAAAGTTAATTAAAAAACAGAAAGATTTCCTCCCCCAAGAACCTTACATTCTGTAGAGAGACATCATCTATACAACAAATATATATGAAATCAATGCTAACCTAATAAAAGAACTACTTCTGCCCATCCAGTGAGGGTATGGTAATGTGAACTATTAAAAGCATTATTACCCCATTTTATAGATTGACAGGAGTCCTCCACTTAGCTGAGCTCATCTAGCTAGAAAGTATTGGAGCAAAAACCAAGTCTTTGGGCTCCAAGTCTGCTGCCCTCTTTGGTATGTCAATAAGGAGGCTCCTAGGTGGTGTAATAGATGGAGAGTCAGACTTCAGAGTCAGAAAGATCTGTGTTTGAGTCCTGCCTTGGATACTTCATGGCTGTGTGACCCTGGGCAAGTCATTAAACCTCTGTCAGCCTGCTTCCTCATCTGTAAAATGGGATAATATAACATTTTCTCCAAGATTATTCTGAGGATCAAATGAGGTAACTACATCAGTTTATTTAAAAAGCTGTCATCTCCTTAGGTAGCATAGTCTTATATGCAGATGGTTTTAATTCCTGGATCAGCCATGAACTTACTGTACAGCCTTGGACAGATGACTTCCCCTCTCTGAGGCTCAATCTTCTTTCCTGCCTGATGAGGAGAATGGACCAGATCAAGCCTTAGAACTGGCTACATGTAACGGTCCTGTCTTGTCTTGTCTTTCCCTTTCTTTCTAGGTGAGCATGTTGGGAGTCCCAGGGTTTCTGAAGTGGTCACAAGACTCAGTGGACCAAGGCCTCTTTGTTTACCTTCCCCAACCATCTCCAGCTATTATAAAGATGATGGTTTGGACCCTCAAACTAGAGGAAGTCAAGTGAGGCACCTGTGGTTTGATTTTTGCTTCTAAGACGTGAGCATTGCAGTAAATTGGTTCCACTCTTCCTTAACCTAAGATGATAGTTTCTGACCCATCTTAATCAAAGGACAATGCACCCTGTCTGACCTCAGTGGATACCTCTGATTTATAAGCCTGCACCTTCCTCCATGAAAGAAAGGCCTTTCAGGAGGGAGATCTCAGTGTCTCCCTATCCTTAGGCATGTAGTTAACCTCAAAAATTATTTAGGATGGATGTCTCCTCTTTTTCCCCCCCCACCCCGCATACCACCTCTGTGGCAGGTGCCTCCATCCTGTAAGTAGGGGTCAGGCACTAGAAGACAGAAGGAAGTAGAACAGGCTTAGCCAGGTAATGCCACCTTGGCTGGTTTGGTGTCAGCTAGTAATTGAGGAAACTTCCTCAAGGGTTAGCAGGAGCCTGAAGAAATGGGGATCCCAGGAAAATGCAGCACTGAATGAGCAGGGGGCAGGGGCCTAGCTAGAGGGCCATGTTTGTGAATTCAGCAGCACCTGTCCAGGGGCACAAGAGCAGGATGGCACCCCTGGCTATCCCTGGCATTCCACTTCTTAGACTTACACCCACCACCCACCATGGCTGCATTAGAAAGCCCCAGGTGTAATTCTAAACAATGGTTGGTAATTGGTTGGGGTAGGGAACAGAATGGGAAATGAGGCTTGGTGACATCCATATGATGGAAGATTTGTTTTTTTTTTTCATTCTAATCTGAAAAGCCATGAATGACACCTGCTGTTAAATTCTCTTTCAAAATGAACAATTAAGGAACAAATGCTCTAATTTCGTTTTTCTGTCCTCTGCCTCTTTGTATGTGAATGTTTTGACACCTGTTAAAAAAAAAAGTAAACTTTTTCCATTTAAAAAGGATGTTGTGCTGTTCATTCTGCAGGTGGGCCCCTGCCTGCCTTTTCAGAAGTCACTTGGTACAAAAAATCTTTAGGGTGTCCCCCAAATTGAATAGTAAAGTCAGAATCCTGATGTTGGACAGTGAAAGAGTGACCCATTAGAAGGCAGGAGTGCTGGGGTCCTAGTGCTGCCACTGCCACCAACTCATGTGGGAACCTTGGGCAAGTCAGTTTATCACTCTGAGCCTCACTTTCCACCTCCATAAAGTGGGAATAATGGTTGGAACGCCTCTCACAGGTTTGTTTATTTTTTTTGTATTTTTTTTTTATGAGGAAAACTGTTAAGTGATCATGTGGTAGAAAGAGTCCCAAAAAGGGCACCAGGCCTGCTTCTGATGCTGCTAGGTGGCATCACACAAGGCCCTTGAGCCTCTCGGGTCCTGGTCTGTAAAATGGTGGTGGTGATTATCTACCTTCCCTCTAGGGCTTTGGAGTATGCAAAACAATCTCTCCCCAACAACACTGAAGAAACGAGTGCAATAATGTCCCCATTAATGTCCTGGAGAGGCTTGGTGAAGAAGTTAGAGCTTTGCAGAGTTGCAAGGGCAAGGGCCCATCCAGCCTAAAAATATTGGCCTTTGTGATTGCTGTGCTAAACCTTTAAAGAAAGCTAGGAGGGGTCCTGCAGAATGAGCCGCTGAGCTCTGACTACAAATGTTTGTGCCCAGGGCAATGCCCCAGCCGAAGCCCAAGAAACTCCTCCCAGAGGAGGGGGAGAGGAACCAAGTGACCAGGATGCTAGAGCCAGGGACTCTGAAACTAACAGCCAAGGCCCTGCCGGGAAGCCACTGGGCTCATCCCAGCAGCCACCGAGTAGCTTCCTGTTTAAGCTAACTTTCTAAACTTGGCACCCTGCGACAGCAAGCCTTTGTTATGTGCTGCTACATGCCAACCATGTGCCAGGTGCTGGGAAACGACCACAGCCCTTGGCCTGGAGTCCTTATCCTCTCCATCGCCTTATCCTGGTCATGGTTCCACCTAGACACTGCAAAGGCTCAGATTGTTTAACGGCAGAGAGTGGAAGCCTCCAGCTATAAACTGAGGGGCTTGACTTCCAATCCTGGCAATGTTCTAGACCAGGGGTGGGGAACCTGCGGCCCTCTAGGTCCTCAAGTGAGGCCAAGGTTTACAGAACAAATCCTTTTCATAAGGGGATTGGTTCTGTGAAGTTTGGATTCAGTCAAAGGGCCACACTCGAGGACCTAGAGGGCCACGCTGCAGGTTCCCCACCTCTGGTCTGGACTCTTTAACAGTGAAGAGTGGCTTGAGAGCCCCGGAGAGCAGTGAGCATTGTGGCATGGGCATGCTAAACTAAATTTTATGTCATTTTTTCACATGATTAGACTGACCCATTAAGGGAGTCCATTGATCATCACAGATGATCGCATCATCTGGGGGCCTGCATTAGGAGAGACACTGAGGCAGCTGAAGCTGACGTGGGGAGCAGATTGCATTGGATAGAATAGCCCAGGCATGAGGACAGGCGAGAGGGCTTCGATGAGGCTTAGGCTCCTGCTCCTGGCATTCCTCTCGCCCCCACAGATTTATTCTCAAGATGTAACTGTCCCACCATGTGCAAGCTGTAGTTCTTCAGTGAATACCCCACCACCATCACCAGTGGCAGTCACTACACTTTCACACAGCATGTCTACCATTACCATTGTTGCTTTTGATATAATAGGTCCTTTCAGACCCTCTCCTGTGTATATGTGTCAATAGTGCTTCTGTACATAGCATGTGCATACAAACACACCTACTTTTGTTTCAAAGGAAACACTGGCAGTAATACTATATAATTTTCACAGTTTCAACTATCATATCAGTAGAAAGGGAAAAACAAATATTGTTTAAGAGGAAGTTGGGGAAAAGCATTCCCAAGATAATACAAGCTGCTGTTCTAAAAATCCTTTAAAAGTATGTAGCAGTTGAAATTAATATAGGTGTGGTTCCTATGGTTCTGGGTCATGTCCAGAGATGTAACTAAGGCATGAATACTAGGGCTCGATACTCAATACTCAATTTTCTGACATTTAGAATGCTTTGGTAGCACTAAATCTCAGCAGCCTACAAATAGTTGAGCTTAGCATATAGTACCTAAGATTGACTTCTGTATCCTTCAAACCCAAACATAGCTTTACCTTAGCTGAGCTCCTTCCTGAACCTGCCCCCACAGCCCCCAGTAGTGGCCTCATGATGTCTTAGGCACTGCATCTAGAGATCTCAAGGTCCTTATCAGCCTTGAGACCTTCAGAGACTTGTCTGCTAACTAAATTACATAGATTCCTCTTGTTTCGCAATGATGAGACTGATTTGCAATCTTAGCCAATCAGAATATGGAAAAGTATTTGTATAGCTATGCTAATATCATTAACTCAGAATCCAGGAAGAAGCGCCAGGAAAAATATTGAAGTTCTACGGACGGTGGGACAAAATAAAAGATGGATGTTTCAAGCATGTGGTAGAATACATGCTCATGTAGGATACATTTTTGGGGAAAACAATCCTGAAAATCTTGTCTTGTAAAATGTCTGAATGGAGGATCAAATCAAAATCATTTTAAGACACATTCAGTTGAGGTGTGAGAGTGACTTTGACATCTCTAGATGCAGTGCCCAAGACATCTAGACTCGTGGGTGAATTGTATTTAAGTGAGGCAGAGTTGCATAAAGTTATCGGCCTCACTCTCTTCCAGAGTCATCCAAGTCCAGCGGCAAGGCAAATGTCAAGAGAATGGGGATGGCCCAGCATGTAGTGGATGACCTTGGTGTCCTCGTGTCTGACCAAGCTCTAAGCGCTCCACAGCACCTGCTTCAGGCACCTTCGTGGCTGTTCCAACAAATTGTTCTCATCTACCCATTCCACTGGGGAAAGTCTTCACATGCTTGGGGTAGACCACACCCAAATTCACCCTCAACCTGATCTAGCCCATCTGCTGAGGTTTACTGGGGTGTGACTGCTGAACATGCTACAGCTTCTTGGAGCTCCAGGTGAGGGTTGGGTGAAGGTGGCCGCCAAAGGGGGACGAGCAGCCCTGACAGAGTTCCCATCGGATCATGTCGCCTCGATCCAGGAACCACTGACCAGGGTTAGGAACACGACTCTTGGGCCCAATGCCTGTGTCCCTGGCTCACCCAGAGGTACTGGTGCTCCCTGAACACCCATACACCCCACTGCCACCACCACAGGAGAAGGAAATTCCCTACACTAAAGTACCAGCGTCTTCATCCTCTCACCCTCCTTTCCTATTGTTAACAGACTCAGTCAAGCCAACAGGAGTGTTTCCCTAACCCGTGATCCTGAACCATCCAAGATGGCTGCATCTACAAATCACTGTATAGAGAACAAAACAAAATCCACAGTCGATGTCTTTGCTCAGTCCTTCAGTCCTACAGCTTTCAACTGATTGACAGGTAGGCTGTCTCATCCTGAAGCAGCAGCCTGGGCTTTGCTTAAAGGCAGTGGCTCCACAATCATCTGCCGGTTCTTTTAGGCTGGATGACCCCTCGCCCTGGATGTAGTCGTGAGGATTCCTGGTTAGCTGAGGTCCTGCTGAGGCCCTTTCCAACCATCTGCTTAGCAGTCAGGCCACAGGCTGCTTTCCCACATTTTGAGTAAATTGAGAAGGATCTGAAGGATTGTGCAGGAAGTAAATGACAAATGACGTTGGACTTCAGTTCAGCATTTAAAGCAACTGGAACTTTGAAGTACGAGCCTGAAGAGAGACGGCATCTGTCTTGACGGGAGGGCTCAAGACTTGCCTTGACCACGAGAAGAAAGGAATTCTCTTTCAATGGGACACAGGCATTGGGCCCAAGAGTCATGTTCCTAACCCTGGTCAGTGGTTCATGGATCTAAGCGACACGATCTAATGGGAACTCTTTTGTCATTGAGGCACAGTTTTCAGACAGTCAGATCTTTTCTCTTTAGTAAAGGCAAATCAAAGCAGCTTCTGAGGGTACTCATCTCAGCCCTAGTCTTCAACTTAAAGACCTTGGGGATTAGGGTGGGAGGGCAGGGTAAGGGGGTGTCACAAACCTTGTGTTTCCACGGTAAGTCAGCCCTCCCCTACCACTGAAGCACAAGGTTCAGGAATAGCTCTTGCTTTCTCCAGAGAAGACAGGGTTGCAGCCGCCTATCCATGGACGTGCTGCGGCTCACAAATACAGTCTCAGTTTTGGCCAGTGGCTCATAAACTAAGAGAAGGTGCCAGTAGGCCAGGCTTGACTTACCCATCCTGCTGGTTTGGAAAGATTCTGACAGGAAGGTTCAAAGCTCAAGAGTCATAAAAGGAGGCTTTATCACCCGAGGCCAGTGACGAATGTAAGCCGAGGCAGTCCAGGTGGCAAAAGCTACAGGAGGAACAGTGAAGGAGGGAGAGGAAAAATGCCTGGGGGACCGGGGCAGGCCCACTCAGGTGACTGGATAAAACCTGGAAGGAGGAACTAATCTCCAAACATTGGCCAGGGTAGGAGTCAGCTATGCTGGCAGGGATTGCTCTGCTGACCAAGGATTTGAGTGAGTTTTTGTTTTTTTAGAAATCTTCAAGGACGTCTTCCCCTCCTCCCCCAACTCCACCACAGGTTGGGGTGGAGGCCTATCTCTGTGCAGGCTAAGTGTAAAGGCCCTCTCAGTGTTCTGACCTTGGGTATCTCAAATGATGATGGCCTTGTGTCAGGAAATAGTGTAGGAGAGAGTCATATATCAGGATACAAAGTCAGGGAGTGCCTAGGTATATGATGGCAGGGCTTGGCAGGGCAGGAAGCAAAACACTAGTAAGTTTCCACCGCAAATGAAAGTTGTGTCGCAAGGCAGAATTACGAGATGGACCCCAGGTCACAAAATGGAGTCTAAGAAATATCAAAGAATCACATGGTGATGTGTAGTTCCACTACAGCATCCATAACCACTTAGTTCAAGATAAAAATTAACCAAGTCTTCGTAAATATGGAAAACAAGGAC